TGAACTTTTCTACAGGCCTTCATCTATACAGAGTAGCCTATGCTGCAGGAAACAGCTACCTAATTATATAATGAGCTCATCAATTTCCTGCAAGAAGAATGTTCAATAGTGACACCAGAAACCATTAAAGATTAGAGAAATGATACCAATAATGAAAGGAAATCTTAATGTAAATGTTCCTGCTGTCTTGATTTTGAACTTTCTTAACATCCTTCTGCTCTTTGCATTTTCACATAAATGTGAGATTCTGGGATTTCACACTTTAATCAATGTTTGTTTACTGTAAAGCATACATATGTCATGCTAAATATTTAGATGTCAATCCCACATACACTATATAATACCAGGAGGGTGCATATGTGTGAACTTTATCATCCACCTCAATCCATTCATCTTTCATCATGCAGAAACAGCAGCCTAGCTGATTAGCTGCAAAACATTCTCTGTTTCCTGCTTAGCTTTAGCAGGCAATCAGCTCCCCCTATAGGTTGTTAGTAGAACATGTCTTTATTTTGCATTTAAAGTGTTAAAAATAAGTCTGAATTAATGTACCAAACTTTTCAGGGAAAAGAGTTTATGCATTTGTGTTGTTGTCAGTTAAGTATATATTTTTCTCTGTGTATGTGTGTGTCCCTTCAGACCAGATGCAGGGCACGGTCACGCTAAGAAATATAAGCACCAGCACCTCAGGATTCTACCAGTGCACCTCCAGCAATGCTATTGGCAAGAGCACATGTGTGCTAAACCTGGAGGTTGTAGCGCGTAAGTAAAATAAATGCAGCAACAGACAGAAACATCGGCTTCTACAAAGAAAATTAAATATATTTGGTCATAAATGTCCTTAAATTTGGGAAATATGGCAACAAGCAGGTTTTTATTCTTAGATTATTAACTTTACTATGTTTAGTAAATACAGTGGAAATAATCCTTCTTCACCCACTGTAATAAATGTCTCTATTTTAAGGATGAGGTTTAAATAAAAAAACAATAAGAGATTACAGAAGGTGGAGGAATGTGAAATGTTACACTGATATAAAGGAGGGGAAAAGGAAAAATAAAAACCCACAGAGGGATCAATAAGTGATTATAAAAATGTATGCTTTATTCAGAATTAAAATATAATAAACAGCAGTTATTATAATAATATCAACAATCGTTAGCAAGACTCAGCATTTTGTGAAAAAGTATTTAAGCTTTCATACTATGGCAAGATCCTCTTTTTACAAGAGAAAATGTAGCTTTTTGTTGTCAAAAACACAGCTTAATAATTAATAAGTTCACCAATAAGATTAATAACCTTAATACATCAATCGATAATTTGAATCCATAATATGTGTGCGTACTAATGTAATTTAAATAAAAATAAATAACTATAAAATAAACACCAGAAGTTGTGCTGCACTGTCAGACAGTGAGATGTCTCACAGCCAGAGCCACTGTGTGGGGCCCCAGGGGGCCGGGGCCACCGATATATATCTACGGAATATATTTTATTGTGTCTGTTATTTTGTATTTAGTAAGTAAGCATATATTTTCAAGAGTTGAAGTGATATGAGAGTTACGAGGATGACAATAGAGGATAAAGTCAGCGACACATGTCAGAAAAGATCAGCAATGCAAGCAAAAAAGAAAGAGTCAGAAGTTTTTTCAGAGCAGATATTGACACTTTTGACAGCAACAGCAGAAAAAAAACAAAAACAAGGCCAGTATAGGTCACTGATCTGATCTATCTATAGGATCTGTCTGCATTTTGCTTTAGCTTTAGTCATTTTATATCCTTCCAGTAGTGTCTGCTGATCAACCCCTCCACTGCTAGATAACGGCGATACCAAAATGTGAAAATTAAACTATTTGATTTACCAAACTTTTTTATCTTTGTGATATTAAAAAAATAAGGTAAACTACCGGTAATTACCAAAAACAGTCCCTTGCCCGAATAAGGTAAAAAAAAAAAAGAAAAAAGAAAAAATTGAGAGTACTTCTATAATAAGTTTGAGAAAAACACTTAGAGGGAAAGGAACTGACAACTCTCAGAAATTAAAGAGACATTATGAAATATATTTAAAACAGCCTTTTTTTGGACCCTTTACGACTAAAGCATAATTTGATGAGCAGCCTGGCACCTCAGTAGTTCAGCCCGATGCATCTATAACCCCAGGCTCACACAGACTCCGGTCTTACCGTTGCGGTGCGGTGGGTGCGGCGCCGCAGTGATTCCAAGTCATTAAAAAGATGTAAATCTCTCTCACCGGCTGCTGAGCTGTCCGGCTGCGGTTACAGAGACACTCCGGCGCTGCAGAAAATTCCGCAAGAAAGCTATCCTTGTCGATACTCAGAAGTGACCTGCATCCAGCTCAACTCAGACATGGGAGTTCAAAAAAGTAAAAAAAATCAACTTGTTAAGTACAAGCTCATGCTATCAGAATTAGCAGAAGAAAGCTGCAGTTCTTGGATTTAGCCACAATTGGCAGTGTCCTCAGAAACTGTGTAGCTTCTCTTCAATCATAAACCTACATTTTTACCTTTTTGATGCAGATTATTAACTTTCCAAATAAGTTGCAATAAACTTTTCCACTTTTTTAACTCCACAAAAAGTTTTAACCTTCACTTATTAGCTTTTTTTAATTTAATTTACAGTAGGTAACATATCACCCGCATATACTGGTGGTATTCTATGAAGCAGTTACACTCAGCTTTAAGACCACATTTGACCTCATGATTTTTTCTTGTTTGTGGCAAATTAAATGATATCAGGTCTATATTTAAATATATCTGATCTGATTTTTTATTTTTTTTATGTTATGACTGAAAGCTGTAATAAATGTCTTTATGTCTTTCCAATAAAAGTTGTCTAGGTCTACGAAATTTAATATCGCATTGTTGAACATCTTGTTTTGACATAGCATTTAACCAGAGATGGCAAAAGTACTCACTTTCCGTACTTGAGTAAAAGTACAGATACTTGTGTTAAAAAATACTCTGGTAAAAGTGGAAGTACTGATTAAACTTCTTTACTCAAGTAAAAGTAACAAAGTACAGGCTTGTAAATTTACTTAAAGTATAAAAGTAAAAGTAGAAACCACTTTTTTCATGCCGTTGCCTACATTTTAAATGGATGTCTGCCAATAGGACTAGATCTCCGTTGTGTTCATTTTCAATCATCTCGTCGTCCATGCTACTATGCTAACACCACCGCCACCGCTGCAATGATTTGCCGCCAATGAATACCGCCGAATCTGTTGATTCATCTTGTAGTGGTGCGTCAAATGCAACGTAGATTCCCATCCAATTAGATTGAATTTGGTATTGATGAGGTGAAAAATAATAACGGTAACTCCATTTAAATGATTCAAAACTAAAGTAACGAGCCAGTTTTTTAAAATGTAAGGAGTTGAAAGTACAGATATTTGTGTAAAAATGTAAGGAGTAGAAGTAAAAAGTCGCCATAAAAAAAAAGTAGTAAAGTAAAAATATCAGAAAAATCTACTTGAGTACAGTAACGAAGTATTTGTACTTTGTTACTTCCCATCTCTGCATTTAACCTGTTTCGACTGATCGCTAATGGATGCCACACGTCTATTGTTATTTACAGAATAAACAGGAGCTGGTGATCAGTTTCTTGGCTGGTTTTGTTGCACTTATTCAGACTCTCCTCTGTTCACCCTGCAGCTCAGCCCCAGAGTGTCGGTCTGATCGCAGGGACAATTGCTACTGGAATCCTGGCTGTAATCATCTGTTCGCTGCTAGTTGTGGTCACGCTCTTCTACTGGAGGAATAAGAACAAGTACGAAGAAGAGGAGATTCCTAATGAGATCAGGTTTGCTCTAAATATGCTATTTACCAGTTTACTGCTATTTAAATTGCTTTTAGGACAAATATAATGTAAAATGAAACATTGCAGATAAGAGATCACCACTCTTACCATCCATTTCTCCCTTATAAATTTATAAATGTATGTTCTGTTTAAAGTTCTGTTTCAATTTTAAAAAAGCAACTTTAATGCTGTGAATTTCAGAACTTTAAAAGTATTTAGCTGTTCATGCAGGAATAACATTTTTAACTTGGAACAAAACTAAACCAAGTCAGTTTTTTTTCATGTTCTCTCAACCGAAGAAGTGGGTAAAAAATTACAATTAATATATTTTCTACGCCTATAATTATTTTTTTATTATTATTATTTTGAGAATATTTTTTAAAAGTATTTTTTTACCATTTAGGGCAAAAACTTCCTTTTACCTTTGTAGAACCTTTGTATTTTTACTTTAGAGAAAGGGGTTCAGTGGATACTTTCAGTTTTACCAGTCTTGATTTCTTTTGACTCATCTGGTGTATTTTATGTATAAACTTATTTGACAAATAATGTATTTTCAGGACGCTGTTGTACCCGTGCAGATTTTATTTACTCAAAATGCATCCTTAGTATCTTAGACAGGGCCTCTCAGCTCCACCTTCAGCATTAAAAAGAGGTTGCTGCTGCGTTTTTCTGACGATGAGCATATGTTTACTCAAAGCCTTTCCTCAGTAAACCAAAGCCAGTAAATTGGATTTCAGGTTTGGGACGCTCACCTTTTATTGAATCTCCTAGCAGCAACTTATTTCATCATTACAGACTAATTTGTCTTCCCAGACTGTCCATAAATCTTCGTCGGCTGTTTACCCAGGGCTTCTGTTTCCAACTGTAATTATTCCAAGAATAATTTTAGGGGGATAATTCAGATTTTAGGAGTTTTGTCTGTCTTTGGTTGCATCAGACTTGTTTTAGGTTCAGATATATTCAGATTACAGCCCTGCAGATCATACAGCTGAATATCTGAACACCTTTAATCCATCTAACAAGTGTCTCTCCTGAAACCTGAATTTAACAAAATTATGGAAATATAAAGTGGGGGATCAAAAAAATATTTTAAAGTTTATCCTAATGTTGCTTTTGAAGTTTATGACAGTTTTTATTATAATGAAAGATTCCCCATCTTTATAAAGCTTTTAGAAAAAATCTCTTTTACTACTAAGAGATTATTATTTTACAAATGTATATTGCTTAAGAAATAAAATGCATTATTATTATTGGTATGGCTGTGGATATAGATGTATGTGATCAACTTCTTATTAAAGATAATAAATTGTACATGTTTTAAAATAAATTGTTTTACTGTTGATGAAATAATCTTGATTTTGCATAAAACTCGACACTGAATAAACAGACCTATTGGGTAGAATATCTACATTTCATTCTATTTGATTTTATACCTAGAGTGATTAAAACTGGCACTAAACTGTACATTTGATGGACATTTGTTTCATGACTATTGACCAGGCAGATAAGCTGTGCTTTATTTGAAGAAGCAGCCAAAAGAGCCTTGGTGGCTTTAATGGAACTTTAGGTCTCAGGTCGTAGAATTTTTCAACCAGACAACAATTAAGCCTGGTTTATTGTTGACGCTCGAACGGGCAAATTGCTTAAAGGAATAGTACACCCAAAACATGATTAGCCTTCATTTTCTACTCACCCCCATGCTGAACAACACTCTGGAGTACTTTTTTGATATCTCAAATGCATCTGGAGATCTGGGAGTCTTCTTGCTGTTTGCTGACATTCAAATAATGGAGGTCTATGGTGTCCGAGACAGAAAGGTCCATAAAAGTCCACAAAAAACGTGTCAATATTCCTCCATACTGCTCGTCCAATGTATTCCAAGTGTCCTGAGTGGGTAGCATCCAGAATTTACTCGAAATGAAGTAATTTAGAATGTTTTTAGAGCATAAACAGTAGTTTATAGGATTTCCTATAAACTGCCGGAAACCGCGGCAGATCAAACCAGATGAAAGTGCGCATTCAGCGTCTGCTCTGCCGATAATGCAAGCGTAGAAGAAGAAATGTGCTGTTTACCTGTGCAAAGAAAGAAACAACGAAAGAAAAATGTCTGAGGACTTCATTGTTGAGGAAGAGCATGAGTTCTTTGCTGAGCTGAATGCGCACTTTCATCTGGTTTGGTCTGCCGCGGTTTCCGTAGACTCGTGAACGCGCTTTTAGGAAATCCTATACACTACTGTTTATGCTCTAAAAACATTCTAAATGACTTCGTTTCGAGTAAATTATGGACGCTACCCACTCAGGACACTTGGAATACATTGGACGAGCAGTATGGAGGAATATTAACACGTTTTTTGTGGACTTTTATGGACATTTCTGCCTCGGGCTCCATAGACCTCCATTATTTGAATGTCAGCAGACAGCAAGAAGCCTCCCAGATCTCCAGATGCATTTGAAATATCAAAAAAGTACTCCAGAGTGTTGTTCAGCATGGGGGTGAGTAGAAAATGAAGGATAATCATGTTTTGGGTGTACTATTCCTTTAAGTCTTTTTACAACCTACACCCCATCGAGGCATTTCAGTGGCTCGATTTTTCATATATTCCACCTAGAAAAACGTGTATCTACGTTCTCATGGTGGTCTCAACAACGTCCGCAGTAACAACACACATAGGGCGCGCCGCACATTTTGAGGGAAAAAAAAGACATTTATATGCGCATTTATATGCATTTATAGTCGTGAAAATACGGTAGGTAGACAGCTCATCATGGAATAACAAGGCTTGCAGATTTAAAATATTAGAGACGATCAGCAAATTGTGAACAAGTCTTGGAAAGAAATCGCTCTTGAATGACATGGAGAGGCTTTGATTATATATTTGAAACAGCTTTCCACTTCTACATGTATTGGGGCGTAGTCAGACCTTAAAAAAGTTGGCCAAAATGTTAGGTACAGGGGAAAAAGCTACACTGTGTATAAAAGCTGCAGACATCGTTGCCTGTGAGTCTCATTTCCTGGCAGAGCGTATACATGCGTCAAGCATAACTGAGTCTTTAGTTGTAGGATCCAAAACTTCATGGTATCCCCAACTAGGACTCTCTGGTAAGACTGTCCTTTTCCGATCCAACTGAGCTCAATCTTTTTTTGTAAAGAAAAAAATTTGGTGATGTTCAACAGGTAAAAACATTCTAGCTCAAAGAATTACATTTTATTTTTCGGTGAAAGGTCTAATTTTTAACTCAGAGTTGAATACAAATGGTCACAACACAACATTATGTTAAATATATTGAAGTTCATGGTAGTAAATTGATGACATTTTCCCAAAAAAAGACTTTAGGGAGGTACTTTAGGAGGGCGACAGTGGCGAAGGGTTGACGGTTCAAGCCCCTGCTCTGACTTTCATTGTCGTTGTGTCCTTGGGCAAGACACTTCAACTGCATTGTCTACTGATGGTGGTCAGAGGGCCCGGTGGCGCCAGTGTACGGCACCCCGCTTCTGTCAGTGAGCCCCAGGGCAGCTGTGGCTACAATGCAGCTTGCCACCATCAGTGTGTGAGTGAATGGGTGAATTAAAGTAGTGTAAAGTGCTTTGGTCAAGTCTCCTGGCTTGAAAAAAGGCGCTATACTGCATAAGTACAAGCCATTTACCATTTACTTCATGCTAATGTCTTTGGTTCCAGTGTATTGCTTCACAGGCGCATTAACAAGTAAAGGAGTGCTATAGTGAATGAGCTGAAAGGTTTTATAGATGTAGATAATTTTCCAGCCTAAACGACTGACCTTGCTTTGATGTTTGTTTCTTAACAGAGAAGATGATTTACCTCCTAAGCGGTCGTCATCGGTGAAGGCGTTCCATGCAGATGCCTCTTCCTCAGAGAATGACACACTGACATCAACAAACACGTACAACAGTCGCTACTGGCACAACCCTAAAACCAACTACGAAACCAACTCCTACACGCGCTACAACGGAGACACCCGTCAGACCTTCACGGCTGCTCCCGGTGGACCCCATGGCGCTCACAGTCACGGGCAAGCTCAGAACACTACGCAGGCCCGCGAAACAGCGGTCACGGCTCCAGGCTCCACCCCCCTACCCCGACACCCGCCACCCACTACGGCAACAACCACGACAACATCGTTTGCCAACGGCGGCCATATGCTCTCCCCACCCAAGACTTTGGTAGTCACAACAAACTCTGCCCCATCCCCTCCCGCCATGGTGCGCAGCAACGGCACAGTGAGCCTCAAGCCAGTGGTGACATCGGCGCACGGGCACCACACGCACTCGTATGCTGTTAGCCAGGCAACACTGGAGCGGATGGGGGCGGTGCCGGTTATGGTGCCCGCCCAAAGCAGAGCAGGTTCACTTGTTTAGAAACCTGATGTAAGACTCTGCTAATAAGACTAAAGTAGTGTTTGGTTGGGGTGTTTGAGATCTGATCTTAAAAAATAAAGAAAAACAGACTTATATGGGCTGAAGCAGCTCACAACCCTTTACAGTTGTGTCTTTCAGTAAGACTATTTTTTAAACACAGAGTTATTAGGTAGTTTTGGTTTTACAGTGCAGAATTCAATCGATGCCAATTCTTTGAAAGACATGACGGGGAGTTTTATGGATTTTCTGTCAGTGCACAGTGGGATCTTTTTTTTTTCCAACCCCATGGATGATTTCCCAAGCCTGGAGTTTAAGGTCTGCAAACCCAGAATCCCAGGCCTTTTATGATTGTGTTTTTTTTTTTTTTTTATGACCCAAACCAGACATTGTCTCATTGTGTCAGTGTGCATCAGCAAACAGAAGCCAGCTTTGAAGCCCACATTACAACGCATGTCTCCTTTATTTTAATTTCCATTCTCTCTCTTAAAGCAAAACTGGGCAAGTTTTGACCCAAGCACTAGTCTAACACTGGCCACATTTTGCTATTCCTCTTCTCAAAAACCACTCTGTGTAACTTGAAAGGGTCAAATTTGTCACTGAATAGATCATGTGACCCAGAGCGGCACTTCTCTTGACAGCTAACAAAGCTAAAAGCTGTTATAATCCAGATAGGACCGTAACCGATCAGACATATTTCAGGTTCTCTGATGTAGGATTTAATCTAGACGGGTAAGTGCAGCCTTGCCTTTACAGGTAACCCCGTGGCTTCTAAACCCCCTGGTTAATTGGTCTGCTAAGCATTTAGAAAAAGTGCAGTGATGCTAGTTCCTTTATGGCACATTAAAACCTAACCTGGCTAACCAGATTGATAATGTGTTGCACTTAGGTTTAGTTCAACATGTTATTAATCTAGGACATTGATTTTCTTCTAAGAAAGACGAGACATGCAGAAGAACTCTTTCAGCTGATTGGGTGAAGCAACATCTTGTGCCTGCCTACAGTAGTAGCCATTCAAAATTTTCCAACATTTCTTGATGGGCCCTTGGCTGGTTCCCTACATTTCCTTTTTAAACATCAATCTTTTTACTAAAATATTCATAATTTGTGGACATGAAGATCTAAAGAGAAGCGTCATCTCCTGGTCAGACCCTGTAAATCAGTGAAACGGTGGAGTCGAGTGTGAAGCGGCTGGGATGAGAATCAGCTCCTCCAAGTCCGAGGCCATGGTTCTCGATCGGAAAAAGGCGGCTTGTCCCCTTCAGGTTGGAGGAGAGTCCCTGCCTCAAGTGGAGGAGTTCAAGTATCTTGGGGTCCTGTTCACGAGTGAGGGAAGAATGGAGCGGGAGATCGATTGACGGATCGGTGCGGCTGCTGCAATAATGCGGACGCTGCACCGGTCTGTCGTGGTGAAGAGAGAGCTGAGCGAAAAGGCAAGCTCTCAATTTACCGTTCGGTCTACGTTCCTACCCTCACCTATGGTCGTGAAATCTGGATCATGACCGAAAGAACGAGATCCCGGATACAAGCGGCTGAAATGAGCTTTCTCCGCAGGGTGGCTGGACTCTCCCTCAGAGATAGGGTGAGGAGCTCGGTCAATCGGGAGAGGCTCAGTGTAGAGCCGGTTCTCCTCCACATTGAGAGGAGTCAGTGGAGGTGGCTCGGACATTTTCTTCGGATGCACCCTGGACGCCTCCCTTGGGAGGTGTTCCAGGCATGTCCCACCGGGAGGAGGCCCAGGGGACGACCCAGGACACGCTGGAGAGACTATGTCTCTCGGCTGGCCTGGGAGCGCCTAGGGCTTCCCCCAACAGTGCTGGAGGAAGTGTCTGCGGAGAGGGAAGTCTGGGAGTCTCTGCTTAGTCTGCTGCCCCCGCGACCCGGTTCCAGATAAAGCGGCAGACGACGCGTACGAGTACGGTGGAGTCAGAGTAAAAAAAAAATGCCCATGAGAAGGCCTGTGGCTGGAAGTTGGAGGGAGCTATTCTGCTGGTGTTTGACTCGGAAGGACCCTTTTGAATGGCTGCTACCATACCAACCACCGAGACAAATGAAATAGCAGCTGATGCCATGCAAAACCACAACAACTAACGCTTTTTATTTCTCTCACTGTGCGTGTTATTGCAGCTAAGTTTATGTCCTCCTGGGCTGCCATGTTTATTTTACTTCAGCTGTGGAATCTGCAACTCTTGTTTCAATTACACCAATATGTCCCACCTTAAACCATCATGCTGCATCATGATTGGCCAACCCATTTTGGCTTAACCTAAAACTATTTCAGCTGAATTGATACTAGGGGGATTTTCGTATGTTCGGGAACACCAAGAATTCAGCTTGCAGGCAAGGTTAGCTAAACCTGGAGGTTAGAGGTCTAGCGCCCCTAGTGGCAAGGAAGTTACACAGTGCTGCTTTAAGTTTTGTCGTTAAAAGTAGGAAAAAAGTGAATGTTGAAAGAAATTATTTTGAGTTCCTGAAAACATACAAAGTGTAAGGAATAGAAAGATGAGTTTAAATGGCCTTAGAAGCTTGGAGTGGATGGGTAGGGGGGTTATTTGGTGCAATAAACTGCATAGTATAAGTGAGTGAATGCAAATGTAATTATTTTAATGCACTTTTAGAGCAAATAATACAATATCCAAATCTTTGCTTTATGAAAAAAGTCTTATTCTTAATATACTTTATGATCCAAAATACTTAAAATCTTCTCATTCAAACTAAAAAATGGTTCTAAGGTGGCAAACAAGACCACCCCCTTTACTGCTCAATAATCTTTCCTTAGCCATAACATCTTTGACTCACACAACATTAGTGCTGCTTTATAATGAAAAAAAGATGTCTTATTTCATACATGCTTTATAAGAGAGCCTGAGGATTTTCTACAGTATTTTTTTCTCAACTGAGGCTCAAACTTAGTGTTTTCTACTGTACATAAATAAAACAGTAGGCTAGATTGTGAAGCAAAGATCTTTTTGTCTCCTGATACACGTTACATTTTACCCGTCCTGATATGAAAACTGTTGTTTGAGGTTTTTCTTTGTTCTTTAACAGAAGGCTATCTCCAATTCTGCCTCATTGTGTTATTTCATACAAAAGCCACATGAGTGGCCACATGTATGAACAACTGACAACTTTGGTTTGTGTTTTAGACCCATGTTTCTGACTGTCTGTAATTGTATTTAATCAAATCTCACAGGGTTTACAGATCTGACTATTCTCATTTTTGTTCTGCACTCAGCATCTCTAAAACCGTACCTTGGTTATGAATCGTCTTACGAAGCAAGCATCTTCATAGCTTATCTTTTATGTAATTTGAAATTCTATATGACTTTCGTTTTCATTAAATCACTCAATTCATTCAGAATGTTGTTCCTTTTAATAAGAAAATAATTGTTTTAGCTGTTTTACTGTGTTTTAAAGGAATACAGGTAAGCACACTGCAATTTGTTTCTACCAAATATTAATTGTATTGGAGAGATAAAAATAAAGTTCTCAAGTCTTCCTGACGCAGTTAGAGTAACAAGTTTTTACACAGCGAAAACTAATCTAAAGCACAGTAAACATTTATTAAATTAACATTGTTTGACCTTATTTGGCAAGTTAATAAGATGATCTGCAAATGGATGAGTATTTGTGTCATAAAAAGGAGATTTTTCGATTCCAAAAAAGTAAAAAAAAAACAATCCACTGGACTTTGACAAGTTTTAAGACGTTTTGCTTCCCATCCAGGAAACTTTTTCAATTCAAATTGTCAGAAATTGCGTTGAGTTCGAGGCTTTATACAGTAGCCCAACAAACAGAGATTGGAAGTAACGAAGTACAAATACTTTGTTACTGTACTGAAGTAGATTTTTCTGATATTTTTACTTTACTTTACTACTTATTTTCATGGCGACTTCTTACCTCTACTCCTTACATTTTTACACAAATATCTGTACTTTCTACTCCTTACATTTAAAAAAATTGGCTCGTTACTTTAGTTTTGAATCATTTCAATGGAGTTACCGTTATTATTTTTCACGTCATCAATACCAAATTCAATCTAATTGGATGGGAATCTACGTTGCATTTGACGCACCACTAGAAGATGAATCGACAGATTCTGCGGTATTCATTCGTGGCAAATCATTGCAGCTTGGTGGCGGTGGCGTTAGCATAGTAGCATGGACGACGAGATGATTGAAAATGAACACAACGGAGATCTAGTCCTATTGGCAGACATCCATTTAAAATGTAGGCAACGGCATGAAAAAAGTGGTTTCTACTTTTACTTTTATACTTTAAGTAAATTTACAAGCCTGTACTTTGTTACTTTTACTTGAGTAAAGAAGTTTAATCAGTACTTCCACTTTTACCAGAGTATTTTTTAACACAAGTATCTGTACTTTTACTCAAGTACGGAAAGTGAGTACTTTTGCCATCTCTGCCAACAAAACCTTGATTTGGAAAACGTGATAATTGAAACCGACGAACTGGTCCATCCCTTTGGAAGGAATGGGGGTCATTTGGCTCCTTTTGTTAGCCTGCAAGGCCCCATACTTGCCATTGTCTCTGAAAGTAGGGTCATTAAAGGGAATTGTTGGCCTGGCTGAATAGGCAAGGTCTTCTTTTCCCCTGTAAAGGGGTTGGGGCTGCGATGATAGCGATAAGGGATCAACTCAATCGCTGCATTGAAGGTTTTTGAAAGCTTAAATCTGAGTCCTCCCCCCTGTTTAAGGTTGGTTTTTCTTTCTTAACAGAAATGGCTTTGTTAATGCTACTCTTAAACCACCTGTCTCTTTGTCCACTCTTTGTCCAAAGTGTGAACATTCTGGTCCTCAAAAGAATGTCCTTTGTCCATAAGGTGTAGATCAAGCATACCCAAAGTCAGTCCTTGAGGGCCGCTGTCCTGCAGGTTTTAGAGGTGTCCCTGCTCCAGCACAGCTGATTTACATTGATAGTTGATTAACAGGCTTTTGCTGAACTGCAATCATCAGAATCAGCTGTGCTAAATTAGAGAAACCTCTAAAACCTGCAGGACGGCGACCCTCAAGGACCGACTTTGGGGATGCCTGGTGTAGATGTTTTTTTTTTACTTTTTGGAATGACTATGACCTGGAGGACTGAAAATCTTCACCAGCTGATCATTAGATAGTAACTTCTTTAAATATGCTCCAACGCTTTCCGTAAAAGTTTAAAAAACAATCCACTGGACTTGGTTTCCAAGGTTTGAAGACGTTTCGCTTCCCCTCCAGGAAGCTTTCTCAATTCATTTGAAATTATACTCTGAATTGAATTGAATGAATTATACTCCCAACGCTGTTGGAGTTGTTTTTTTCTTATCTTAAACATGTTATTCCATCAGTTAATCATCTTGCATACCTGCTCAATCCAAGGGAAACTACACTTATTTCTAAAAAAAAAACGTTATATTTCATTTTTTGCAGTGAAGTTG